AAATTTTTTAATAGGAAGCTCGTCGGGGCCACGGGCCGGCCCAGGCTCGAGCCGACTCCCCAAAGTGGGGCTCGGCCCGAGCCTGGGCTAGGTAGCCGGGCCCGGGTCGGGCTTTTTTCAAGCAAAGCCCGTGCCTTTTGAGCCTCCGAACTTTTTGGTCACTGGTACTTTAGCTTGATAAAATCGATATGTGACTAAGAATAAATTAAACTTTAAAGAATAATAAGCAAGAAATTAAATATGTATATTTGAACAAATTGAGAATGAAATTGTAAAGTAAAAATATAAAATATATTTAAAAATATAAATAAAAAAATGAAGGGTAGTGAGTGTCATGTGTATGGGTCCCACTTGATTGTTGGGGTGACAATACACTCCAAGAATTTTTATTTTTTATTTTTTAACATTATATATAGATTATGCTCTTTCAGTTGGCCAAAGGGACAAATGGGACGCCACCGGGACAGGAAAAATCGATTGGACACGTGTCGTTCTATTAATGGGTTGTTATTTCACAAAAATATAAGAATAAGTTATCCTAGATAATGCCATTTTGGGTGATTAGTTAGTGGAACTTAATTAATTAATTGTATGGGAATTTCCTAGATGAAAAATCAAAATTGAAATTTAAAATGAAAATAATGCAAAATGGGAAGAAAAATTAGGAGTCAAGATTTTATTGTACCTTAAGCATTTGTAAATGCTCAAGTCAAAGCTCCTTATATAAATGAGGAGCTCCTTCGTGTATATCACTCAACACACTGTTCTAATAATACAATCGACACAATGACAATAATAATTCACCCTAATTAATTTGCTCATTTAGATGTATTCAAGTGGAATAATGATAAAAAGGAAAGGGAGAGAATTTACAAAAAAGAGATTCCTGAAAAATAAATTCAACTCACAATAAAAAAACACTCATTTTCATTTGCATAAGGGGAGAGAAGGATATTATAATTCTTGCCCCCGAAAAGCCTCCAGGACAAGGAGGTGGCGCTCAACACACTTCTTGTATATAAATGAGGAGACCCTTCGTGTATATCACTCAACACATTGTTTTAATAATACAATCGACACAAGGACAATAATAATTCACCCTAATTAATTTGCTCATTTAGATGTATTCATGTGGAATAATGATAAAAAGGAAAGAGAGATCAGAATTTACAAAAAAGAGATTCCTGAAAAATGAATTCAACTCATAATAAAAAAAACACTCATTTTCATATGATTAAGGGGCAAAAAGGATATTATAATTCTTGCTCCCAAAAAGCCTCCAGGACAAGGAGGCGGCACTCAACACACTTCATGTATATAAATGAGGAGACTCTTCGTGTAAATCCCTCAACACATTGTTTTAATAATACAAT